CTCTGGCAGTAATGTACCAACAGACACTTTTACATCAGTCAATGAAGCATCGCGAGCTGACAAACGCTTAGCATGAATCTGATAGAGCTTGGTTGTACCATCTTCAGCTGACACCTCAATCTTAATGATAGTGACTTCCCCCTCTTTAAGTGGAATCGTCCTCTCTCCACCACTACCCTGTACAATATAATCATTTTTGTACACATGTAAAAGAATACATTACACAGTCAATTGACATTGAACCACTCTATAAAAACAGATTTCAGGTAGTACAGATTTTGATAAGCCAGTGTGCAATTGACTGTGAACCAGTGGTGATGTACATTTGCTATTTACGCCAGCATGGCAACTAAACATTCAAAGTGACTCTTTGAGAGACTTAGAAATGTAACAGCGACAAATTTTTGTTTGGTTCCGCACTTACATGCCATTGTAACGATAAACTCGTATTTACAAGATGGAATTTAGACCATGTGCAATTTCTGACAGTATTCCCAGATCCCCTTACCAAAAAATCCTGAAAAGCCATGCATCATGAAAGGAAAGTGAAATATCCAGCTATTTCATTCAAGAATACAGGACGACTTTTGTGACCCGTACCCTCAAACGTGCGCCTTCAAATCTGCGCCCTCAAGTTCTGGAAGGGGGGGCAGGGCCACCCACCTTGCCAGCAGCCATGCAATCTTTGGGTGTGGTCAGTCAGTCCAATTGTGTCCCGTATGAAATCTCCAAATTTACCACCTTTTTTTGAAACTATCTTCCACAACTACATATTTAAATGAAAAAGCAGCAGACCCAATAGCAGCATTATCATCAATAAGATCAACAAATTACTCTGTTGTGGATAATGAATTTATTCTAATTTCGGTTCAATATCATCTGAATTTGTTTTTAAAAAGTACAACTACATGTACTGTAAATAACAGTAAAATATTCTGCACATGCATACTTCGTTTTTTTTTTTTAATAATGTGACTAGTGTAGTGCTACAAAAGACTTGGGAAAGATCAAGTTCCATACATGGACATCACTAGACAACCTGTGCCCTATGAGACTGGTGTGAAAGTGTTTGCAGGTAAATGCTTCAATATTTTCCTTGATAAAGATGATTCTTTGAGACGTTATCACTTTCTGACATGTTTGATGGCTGATACATGTAACCATTGTAATCTGAAAGGGAAAATTAGTGATGTCTGCAAATTCATTTTCAAATTAATATATGTATGGGTTATTACATTATACCATATTTTCTGTCCAATTATGTAGTAAGCAGCAGGTACTCAGGGCTATCATTAATCACTAGAATTTTCATTTACAAAATAGACAAAAAATAAAAAATAAGCTTGAAGTAATTACAGAATACCCTGTGGAAAGACATGATATATGGACAACACGAATTTTCCCTTCAAATGTTAGAACAGCAATCAGAAAGCAGTCTTATAATCACTGTCAATGCACCATCAACACAAACAGCAGAGCGTAAAATTATGGTCAGACATCAGACATTCAAGTGAGAATTTTTGACCAGCTCATCAGCATTAAAAGTGCCCCCACAGTATCTTTGGAAAAAGGCGATTGTTTGGCCCCCAAAATGGTGAGACTGTGTAAATCGTTGCAAGGATCAACTCCCTGGGTCTTTGAGCTTTCATATGAGAGCAGAAGGGCTAAAAACTACGGTTGAGAAATGGTCCTAAGTGCCCGAGAAAGTTGAGGGTTGCTACTTGAAAAATGGCTGGAATCAGACTTCGGAAAAATCGTTTTTGGGGCGTGATTTCGTTTTGTGGGAATAATTAAAAATGTAATTGGTTAACCCATAACAAATTGAAAAGAAANATTGTGTTTGCCCGATCCATCCTAAGGATGGGTCGGAAGTGAGAGTCCGTGCGACACTAGTGGGGCTAAGCCAGACCCAAATCAGACACGCTGTCAGATCGACCACTGTTAATTTCCTACCAGAATCTGATAAGAAGCATTGCTATCACTCGTCAAACAGTTTACTGTCAGTTTCTCAACATCACAAGGGAGGGTTGAACTATACTCAGTAGTGTTCGCATGGAATTTAGGGCTCAGGGAGCCCGGTTTTATCGACAGCTTTTCCAGGTCTGCGTTGTCCATTTTGACAAGTTTGAGGTCTCTTCACACACATTCAAGCTACACCGTACGCGTACAGCATGACACCAGACGCCAGCGCGTCCTTAGCACCGTTTAGTCTGGTTGTTCGCATTGCATCAGTCGAGATATCGTTACTGAGATTTAGGAGCTAGACCACAAACTTGATGACCATTTTTCAAATTTTGGCTCCTTACATACAGCGGCTTAATCCTGGCCTCACCAGCTCAAAGCTGTGGCTTCGCTCCCATTAGACAATGCTTCAAGTTCTTACTCGGTCGCGACAGGAAACTGAGCGACAAGGAGAAGCAAAATCTGAAAACTGGTCACAGCTAATAACATCTTCTGTGTAAATAAGTCCTTATGTAATACATTCCGCTAAGAAAAACGTAACTCTCACTATTCCATTAAGCCATGCCATTGAGGTTGGTTAGTAAGGCAAAGTACCGGTAATTACGGGAAAATGAATGTGGTTTCCTCTCAAAAAGCTATCAATTTTATTGATTTTGAGATAATGCACTATTATTGAAATAAGGACATTAACCTCGCGTAGAGCAGATTTGATACACTGGGGATCCAATTTTTCCTAATTACGTAATTAAAACAATTTTTTCGGCCAAATGCAAAAACCTCCTGCTAATAAGGAAATTTGATATACATTTTATCATATCTCAGAATATACACATTCGAATTCAACAGAGCAGATCTTTTTCTGAACAATGTATCCGTCGTGACGTCGTCTTAATTCGTATTATTTTTTTTCAAAAACGGTGGATAGAGCGTTTTACGGTAAAACTCTTCATCTTTAGGCGGCCCAGTGGGGTACGGTGTCATGTGGGTGCAAATGCACTCACTGAAAAGCCGCTTACACCCACGTTTGCACAGGCGCAAAAATGTTGTCATTACGACAGGACAATCAACTATTTCGTTTTTACGACTCCGCATCATAACCCGCAGGAAAAAAAATGAAGGATCAATTGCACCCACGCGATTCTGCCTTGCCCAACACTTGCACCCACAGTCACCAAGGTCTGGCCCCACCTAAAAAACTCATTCTTAAAAAGAGTCAGTCCCCTATAAAAACCACCCAAAAAGAGTGAAAACTACGGGGGGACTAAGTGGTAACTAACAAATCTGCGTATATTTTGCTGCAAGAATTTCCAATTTTACGGAATTCTACAAGAAATCTGCTGAAAAAATTTAATTCTGCTATATTTTCTGTCAAGTTCATGTTTTTTGTTAATCTATCAATTAAATTTAGCCAACAATCGGCTAAAATGGTCACCCCGGCGTCCAACTGCATGTACTGTAGTATACTGCCGCTCAGTGCACAAAGCAGTTGGATAACACTTGACGAGATGGCTGATGGAGAACACCGACCCATGATTTGGAAGTAACTTAGAAGATCTCTCCGACACATGGGACAATCACGCCACTATGGATCAGCACCGGTCCCACCTGGACACAGCTTTCAACAACGTGTCACACGGCGAGCGCTAACCACACACGCGTGTAAATGGTTGGGGGAATTTAAGGGCAGTTGTCTTGAAAATAAAGATAAAAGCCCTGCCTTCTACTTCAAAAAAATTGACTCTAAGACGACAGAAAAACTAATTCTCAGTTTTTCATTGATCCAATGTCTTGGCAGAATTTAAGTGTTGAATACATGTTGGAATACACGCGTTCATAATGACGTTGGAATCTTAATTACATGTACATGTTATTACATGTAGTAGCAATCATAGCAACAGGACGGCATGATGCTATCTGGCGCTGGCGTTGACGCCCCCCCCCCCGCTAAAAATGACTAGTTGACTTCTACAAATTCTTGTAATTATTTAAGTTGAAATGCATGCAGGCTAATACTTGTTGACAAAAGCAGAATTTGAAATACCTCCTAAAACTAAATTATTCAATGAAAAATCGCTTGTCTCATTTCTCTCTGAAACTTTCAGAATGTTCTGGTGAGTAACCGGGAATTATTTGTTCTTGGCCTTAACATGTTTTTCCTATTATTGTTGTTATTTCTTGTTTCGCTTGGCCTAACGGCCTTTGATTTAATCTGGTGAACATGCACATGCTTTTTATGCGCTGTATGTAGGTCTGTAAATGTCACTATTTCTAAGTGCCCAACAAAACATCCTTTGTCATTGGGCCTTGGCACACAGACTGCCGCACTGGAGTAAGAACCAACAAATTCGTGCAAAGTAAAAAAGTCCTTACAAAAAAAATAATAACTTGAACTTTACCGCCCGCACCTCGTTTCCAAGTAGCTGGGTTATCACAAACTGAAAGCACTCGGGCTTGTTGGTATCAGTTGGTCTACAGGAATCTTCTATAAGAAGGATCTAAGAGACACCAAAAGACAAGGAACTGCATTCTGCATTCTGGGAGAAAAACCGGTTTCACGTAAAAAATATTTTATAATCAGGCATAATTATGTTTACGGTTGGATTTCACAATGTAAGCACGTGTCATTCAGGACTTATGTGCATCACTTATTATTCTTTCCTCCGCTTACAGTGACCATGCCCGGCCCTTATCAAGTTTTGCAAAGCAGTTAACAAAATAATAGTCGTTAGAATAGTTAAATATTTTATTTGAGTTCCTGTATGTTCCGTAGGTGAGTCAACTGAAATATTTGCGGATTCTGTTCTTCCACTGTGTGTCGTCGACGCCCTATTTTATGGCCTGCAAAGTTAACATTTAATCCCGGAATAGAGATTTCTTTATTTCGAGACTTGCAAAGTGAATTAACATTTAATCGTGTAATAGAGATATCTCTCAGATTAAAATTTCAATTTTGCACGCCTACGGTACCCCATTGCATGTGACACACAGAGTATCTTGTCATTAGAGGGCGCCCTTCTCATTCTGATTAAATACGAATGTGAAACGCAGACCGAAGGGAAGTAGAGGCTGAATCTACTCATTTTTACTTGGAGAAAACAAACGTTACTTAAGGACTTAACACACTACCTTCGAAATGTCTGTCTTTGTGAGAACTTTTAGTGGCCGTACGCTTTGTTTGCAGTCGCATGCCAGTTGCTACAATGGAGAAAACCTGACACAAAAAATCGGCGAATTAGAGGTAGGCTTGGAAATAACCTAGGGGGGTGTCAGTCACTTCGCCCCATTTCCACTTCGCCCCATTGATTATCGTTCATTCTGTTCTTCGGTAACAGAGGCATAGGCCTAGATGCAATAAACCAAAACATCGATGTTTGAATACCCAAATAACAATCAGATAATCCAACTTATAAAGGCATAAACAATGATTCCAACGGCACCAGACCCAAATTTTTTGTGTTTCGTTGTCGCTGTGGTAAAAACACGAGCACAAAGCACTGGTTCCTGCCGCCTCACACCTGTGTAAGAGAATGCATGATGGAGTGTGGGGACCAGTCTATTCATGCTGTGGCAACCATTCATGTATATGATCCGTCACGCATCGAAAAAAATTAATGTTTGCAAGATTTTGTCACGTTAATTCTTAGTATCTTGTCTATGTGTGTATTTATTTATTTCATCAGTTTAATTTTAGGTTGTTTTGCTCGTACTTGAAGTGAGCATATTTCCACAAAATTTCCTGCGCGCCAAGCTTTATCCGATCACCCGAGTACAGCTGTCTGGATGCATGGAGAATTACCAGAATGATTTGATCAGAATTGTGTGTGTCGCTTTGAAATAAACTTGTAGAGGATAAGAAATAACCCTGATGCTAGTCCAACCATATACATTAATTCACCATATTGGACAATGCAGGTGATATTAATTTAATGCCGTAGAATTTTCTATAATACATTGTAACTACATGTCGTTTCATGTCATTTGTGGAACTCCTCGACCATTTTTTAAGANGATGTGGGGATAGGGCGAAGTGGTTAGGGGCGACGTGGAAATGGGGTGAAGTGGGAATGGGGGGATGTTGGGATGTGGGGATGGGGTGAAGTAGAGATGCGATGATTTGGGGATGGGGCGAAGTGGTTAGAGGGCAAAGTGGTTAGGGGTGAAGTGGAAATGGGGTTTCATTCAATTTCATTCAGTTGCTTATAAGCACAAAAAAACCTTGCTTAATAAACAAAGGTTACAAGCTCAAGCTCTGTGTGATTGTCATGCTAACCAAACAACAGGTCAACACCTTTCCAAAACAATACACATTACAAGAAGTTTTGGCTGATAACCTGATTTGTCAAGCAAGGTTTTTTCACGCTTAAACAAATTTTTTGCTTAAGCAGTGCTAAGCCTATGATTTTATGAAATTGGTCCCTGACAACCATAACGTTACTCCGATAGTAGTCCTCACTTGGTCTCTGTGTTACAAATCGCCTTATGCAGAGTCCAAGTTAGGGCTATTCCGACTAGGCAGTGCATATGTCATGTAAGTAACATGCTTTCTCACCCACCATGCCCATGCAACATCAATCATCAGGTCGTGGCATGACCAAGGCTCTATAGTATCAGTGTCAATCTAGCTACGATGCTTGACTAACGTTATGCATACATTGCCTAATCAAGTGACAGTGATGTCATTTTGAGGTTAATTTTAGATCAAGGCATTCGGACCAACCCTATCTCTTCATCGATCTAATCTTCAGTAAATATGGCAATAATTTTCCAGATTTACACCGTAGACTAGTAAGGCTGCATATGTTTCCAATCATCTAACACCACAGCATTATTCCTTTCAGCTCTACATCTAGGTTCCCTTAAACTTTAAATTTTGTGCATCACTAAGTCCATGAGAGTAGAAGTTGTAGATTTGCGTCTATTGCCCCCATGTCCCGATGCCACCGCCCCCCAAAAATCATTATTTACAAACATTTCGTTATTTGTAGGAAAAAGACAGGCACATGTCCAGATGTCTCCTTGAGCTATGGCCAACTAATGTGCATCGGATCAGCTTGCACGTTTATTATTTCACTGCGGGTCTTTTTATGTTGTGATGATCCCAATTTGACCTGATCCACGAACTGCTGAAGGGCCTACATGTAGCTCATCCTTCAGCGAGGCTTTCGGTTGTAGTTTGGCAGCATTATACTTGAAAAGTGTCTGTACTTGGAGGTTGAAATAAAATAATGACTAATGAAAAGTGAAAAATGCCTCGCGTGTTTTTTAATTTATTAGGCCGCAAATCTA